CAGCTGGTGATCGGTTCCTTTGGTTTTTGGTTGAAAGTCTGAGAAAATCTTCATTTCTCCTTCACTATTTGTTTTTAAATTATTAGTCAAAAACGTATTTTCTATCTTATTCATTTTTTTATGTTTAGTTCAGTAGTGATAATGATATGTCCATTGTTATGTAACAAATCTCTAGAACTTTTTTACCTTGCAAAACTGAAACTTTATATGCATTGAACAACTGCCTTTTTTTCTTTCTACCCAGCTTCTGGTGACTATCATTCTACTTTTTTTCTTTCTTTTTTTTTTTTTTTTTTTTTTTTTTTTTTGAGACAGAGCCTCAAGCTATCCCCCTGGGTAGAGTGCCATGGCATCACAGCTCACAGCAACCTCCAACTCCTGGGCTCAAGTGAGTCTCCTGCCTCAGCCTCCCAAGTAGCTGGGACTACAGGCGTCTGCCACAACGCCTGGCCAGTTTTTGGTTGCAGCCATCATTGTTGTTTGGCGGGCCCGGGCTGGGGATTCGAACCCGCCACCTTAGGTGTGTGTGGCTGGCGCCTTAGCCACTTGAGCCACAGGCGCCGAGCCTATCATTCTACTTTCCAAGCATTTTGACTATTTTAGGTACCCCATGTAAGTTGAATCATATAGTATTTGTCGTTTTATGACTGGCTTTTTTAACTTAGCATAATGTTTTTAAAGTTCATCCATGTTGTAGCATGTGTCAGAGTCTCCCTTCTTTTTAAGGCTGAATAATATTCCATTGTATGTGTATATCACATTTTGTATATCCTTTTATTGGTCAGTGGACACTTGGGTTGCTTCCACCTTTTGACTATTGTAAGTAATACTGTCATGAGCATGGGTGTGCAAATGTCTCTTTGAGATCCTGCTTTCTGTTCTTTTAAGAATATAGCCAGAAGTGGGATTGCTAGATACTATGGTAATTTTACTTTTAATTCTTTTGAGGAAATACCATACTTTTCTCCATAGTGGTTATACCATTTTACATTCCCACCAGCAACACACAAGGGTTCATATTTTTCCACATCATTTTCAACACTTAGCTGTTTTTTTTTTTTTGTTATTGGCCATCCTAAAGTATATAAGATAATAGATATCTCAATGTGGTTTTAAGTTTCATTTCCCATTTCCCTAATAACTAGTGATTATTAGTGATGGGCATCTTTTTAAATGCTTCTTGACCACTTGTATCTTCTTGGGAGAAATATCTATTCAGGTTTTTCACCTATTTTTAAATTGGACTTGAGTTAATAGATGTTCTTTTTATGTTCTGGATGTTAACCCTTTATCAGATACATAACTTGCAAATATTTTCTCCTATTCTGTAGGGTGCTTTTTCACTCTACTGATTGATTCTCTTGATGCACAGAAATTTTCAAGTTTAATGTAGTGTCATTTTTCTCTTTTTGGTTTTGTTGCCTGTGGTTTTGGTCATTGCTAAATTCGGTGTCAGGAAGCATTGCTCTGTGTGTTCCTCAAGGAGTTTTATAGTGTCAGTCTTATGTTTAGGTTTTAACCCATTTTGAGTTAATTTTTTTTATGTATTATAAAGTAAGGGTCTAACTTTATTCTTTTGCTTGTGGATATCTACTTCTTCCAGCACCATTTATTAAAGAGACTATCCTTTTACCCATTGTGTAGCCTTTGTCAAAGGTCACTTGACCACATACATGAAGGTTCATTTCTGAGTTCTCGTTTCTGTTCTGTTGGTTCATATATCTATGTTTATGTCAATCAGAATATGTCAGTGCCTTGCCATTTGTTTGTCTTTAATTTTCTTTCTGCAGTTTTGTGGTTTTGTGGTTTTCAGGGTATGAATCTTTTGGTTACGTTTTTTCCCAAGCATTTTATTCTCTTTGATGTACGGAGAAATTAGACTTTTTTTAGTTTTCTTTATCAGATTGTTCATTGTTTAAAAATGTAACAAATTTTTACATGTTGATATTGTACCCAACAATTTTGCTGAATTTACTTATTAATTAGGACATTTTGGGGTGTGGAATCTGTTTTCTATGTATAAGATTGTCATCTGTGAACAGAAATAAGTTTACTTCTTTCTTTCCTGTTTGGATAGTTCTAGTTTCTTCTTTTTGCCTGATTGCTGTGGCTAGTAATATGTGGAATAGAAGTGGTAGCAGTGGGTATCCTTGCTTTGTTACTGATTTTTGAGGGAAAACTTTCAGTTTTTTGCCATTTAGTATGTTAGCTGTAGTCTTTCATATGAGGTTTTTATTATGTTCAGGTACTATTTTTCTACTCCTAGTTTACTGTTTTTGTCTTAAAGGGAGGAGTGTTGAATTTTGTCATATGCTGCTGCTTTTATCAATTGAGATGATTGTATGCTTTTTGTCTTTCATGTTAATGTAGAATATTACACTGATTGATTTTGCATTCCAGGAATAAATCCATATGCTTATTTAATGTGTTGTAAATTTGGTTTGCTAGTGTTTTGTGAAGGATTTTGCTTCAGTAATCATCAAGGGTATTGGTCTGTAGTTTTCTTGCACTACATATTATCTTTGGTTTGGGTATTAAAGAAATGGGATGAGTTTGGATGTGTTCTCTTCCTCTTCGCTGTTTAAGAAGAGTTTGAGAAGGATTGGTATTAATTCTTCTTTGAATGTTCAGTAGAATTCTCCAGCAAAACTGGCTCTGAGCTTTTCTTTCATGATAAATTTTGATTACTGAAGTAATCTTCTTACTAGTTTTAGGATTTGTTTGGAATTTTTACTTCTTCATCAGTCAATCTTGGTGAGCTGTATATTTATAGAAATTTGTCCATTTCTTCTAGGTTTTCTAATTTGGTGGTATATAATTGTTGATAGTAGTTTCTCATGATTCTTAGTATCTCCTTTTTCATTTTTGAGTTTTGTTAATTGAATCTTTTGTCTTTTTTTTAGTCTAGCTAGGGGTTTGTTGATTTTGTTGATCTTCTCAAAAAGTCAGCTCTTAGTTCGCTGATTTTTTTTCCTATTATCTATTTAATTTATTTCTGCTATGACCTTCATTCTTTCCTTCCTTCTGCTAACTTTGAGTTTAATTTGTCCTTTTTCTAGTTTGGGTGTAAAGTTATGTTACTGATTTGAAATGTTTTTATTTTTTTAATGTAGGCTTTTATAGCTATGAACCTTTTTCTTAGTACTACTTTTGCTGCATTGTTTAAGTTTGTGTCTGTTGTGTTTTTATTTTCATTTGTTTCAAGATATTTTCTAATTTCCTTTGTGATTTCTTCTTTGACCCATTAGTTGTTCCAGAATATGTTGTTAAATTTACACGTATTTGTGAATTTTCTAGTTTTCATTTCACTATTGATTCTTAGTTTCTCTCCCTCAATTTTGAAGGATTATTTCACTGAATATAGAATTCTAAGTTGGTAGTAATTTTTCCTTAAACACTTTAATTATTTCACTGCAGTTTGTTCTTGCTTGTATGTTTTATAATGAAAAAATGTGCTAGAATTCTTATCTTTGTTCCTTTGTAGAGAGGAGGTTCTTTTTAAGGATAGTTTGATTATTCTTTACACTTTCACAAAGAGGTTTTTAAAGATTTGACATGAAAAACCAATATTGATAAACTGTATTTACCTACTATACTCAAAACCCTTCAATAGTATGAACTTAACTACATTTTATAAGTTGGTTAGTACTTTAAATACAAATTTTGGATTGCAGTTAATTCTGAAACCTTCCCCCTATAACGACTGTGATTAATTTTAGTTTTAAGAATAAAATTTGAATGAGTCAGCACCCATAGCATAATGGGTAGGGCACCAGCCACATACACCGAGGCTGGTGGGTTCGAACCTGGCCCAGGCCTGCTAAACAACAATAACAACTGCAACAAAAAAATAGCCGGGTGTTGTGGCGGGCGCCTGTAGTCCTAGCTACTTGGGAGGCTGAGGCAAGAGAATCACTTAAGCCCAGGAGTTTGAGGTTGCTGTGAGCTGTGATGCCATGGTACTCTACTATGTCGAGGGTGAGATAGTAAGACTCTGTCTCCAAAAAAAAAAAAAAAAAGAATAAAATTTGAAGCATGTAAAGAAGTTTTGAGACATTTCTGAATTTGTTCTAGAAATTTCACTAAGTAATAATAGTTGCTTTATAGTTATTTTTTTAGTAAGATAAACTGAAATGTCTTGAGAATTCCAAGAGGCTAAAATGCTTATAAAACAAAGAATAAAGAAGACAAACCATAGTTCGTGAAGAAATAAAGCTAGCTTGTTATCAACCAGAATCTTACTTCATACTGCCTTTTTACTGTCTTTACCTTTTCTTTTATCACCATCTTCTTCCCTGTCCATTCTTAAGATAGACTCACTAGTCTCCAAGATCTTTAGTACCCTAAACTGTTTAAGGAGCTGTGAAGTGCCTGGGCTTTTTTTTTAAAAAAAAGATGGTTCTAAGTACAAAGACAATTTGGTGTCTTTTTATCAGTTGCCATTTTAGTTCTATTTTCTACTACAAATTTCTTGAAGTTTTCTTAAAATCTTTATTTTCAAGCAGTGAAGAATTATTTGCAGAACAGGGAACTATTAACATGATTTTAATTTATTATAGATAATATAATTCAGGATTCATTCTTAAGTAAAAGATATTAAATCAGTAAATCATTATATCACAGATATTGCATATATATACATATATATGTAGGTTTTCCAAATAATTATATTGCACAGCTCTTTTTTATAAAGGAAATTGAATTTTGTTAGAATAAAAAACAATGTTATTTGGGAGTTTTTTGATTTTGACTATACATATTAGAATAGCCTTGTAGAAGCAACTGCTTTAAAATTTCAGACTATTATTTAATTTTTATATAAATTAAGTTTTTATTTACCAGTATGTATCCTTCCATAGGTTATGGAAAGTTGACTTGTAATACAAAGGACAACTATTAATACCATGTTAGTTCATTGTGTGCTAATAGAAAATAGGAAATATACAAATAAGGGTTCTCTTTTTCCTCTACTCTGAGATACTTTCACTTTTTCCCCTTAGAATTCCTTGATTTATGAGCTCTTCTCTGTTATGGTTCATTCGGGGAGTGCTGCTGGTGGTCATTACTATGCATGCATAAAGTCATTCAGTGACGAGCAGTGGTACAGCTTCAATGATCAACATGTCAGCAGGGTAAGAGGTATCTTTTAAGATTATTTTATACATCAGAAGTGGAAATGAGAGAATCTGTCTAATATTGCATCTAAAGACCCATATTAAATTAGTCTTTCATCTTTGCTTTTAGTAAATTTCCTGATTTTGTTTATTGTTTTTATTTCTTTGTTTGGATTTGTTTTATTTGGGGCTTGCTGAATGTCTGCAGAAATGGACTGCCAGTTTTCGCCTTGCCCTATGCCTTTATACGTACGTGCTCCTTGTGCTTCATGTGTGTTTAGGAGTGCTAGAACTGACTGGCTGGTGGGCAGCCACTGATTGTGGTGATATTTTGTCAGTTGAATCTATATGGGCTATTCTGAAGGTCTTATGTAGCATTTGACTCTGAAGTTAAAAGATTTGGTTATAATAGTGTTAGTGATTTTTACCAAAAAAAAAAAAAAAAAAAGAAAACACAATAACCTTTCAGATAACACAAGAGGACATTAAGAAAACACATGGTGGATCTTCAGGAAGCAGAGGTTATTATTCCAGTGCTTTTGCAAGGTAAGAAACTTCCTAACTTTTAGTGTTCATAAATTAGAATTAATTATAGCTTCTCCGTGTGTTTTGTCATCTGAGATTTAACACAGGGGTCAGCAAACTACAACCCATAAGCCAAACCCAGCCTGCCTCCAAATTTTGGAAGTAAAGTTTTATTAAATACTAACATAGTCTCTTGTTTACATATTGTGTGTTGATACCTTTGCATTGTAACAACACCACAGGCCATATGGCTTGCTAAGTCAAAGATTTTTACTATCAAGTCCCTGTGCTAAAAAAATTGGTTGACTCCTAACTTAACTGTTACAGTCATTTCAGTACACAGCTTTGCTGTAGACTTTACAGTGTTACCAAGGAAAGGTAGGGAATCTTCTCATAAATATGTCATTAGAAACAAATTACATTTTCTTTTTCTCTAACATGTTTTAAATTTGAATGTGTGAGCAGTGGCATGAATTTCTAATTGTTTGAAAGGGGGAAAAAATCACAAAATAAATACTTGATGCTAGGAAATGGAATCTTTACAACCTACTTTCTGTCACTATTAATCTTTTTTATATTTCTACCAGCTCCACAAATGCATATATGCTGATATATAGACTGAAGGATCCAGCAAGAAATGCAAGTATGTTAACCTACAGTGACTTTATTTTTTTTCTGTTTTATAAACTTGATTTCTTTTGTAAGCTTTGCAAACCTAGATAAGCACTTTTAAATGATGGGACAATTAACTTGCCTGGAAGAATTTTAATTATAAAGAATATTATGAAATAATATCAGGTGGGAAAAACACTTGAAAAAAAACTCATTGAATTATTTTTTAATACACTGAGAAACAAATAAAACTTACTCTTCATGAGCTATATTGGATGTTTATGTGTTAGCATACACACGTATTTATCTGTAGTAAGATTATATCACATGCAGTTTGCTGCAGTGATGATAAACCTAGGCTTATCATAATATACCAGCTGCATGTCCTAGAGCAGCGCAGTTCTCAACCTGCAGGTCATAACCCTATTGGGGGTCGAACAACCCTTTCACAGGGGACACCTAAATACCTGCATATCAGATATTTACATTATGATTCATAACAGTAGCAAAATTACAGTTATGAAGTAGCAAAAATAATTTTATGGTTGAGGGTTACCACAACATGAGGAACTGTATTAAAGGGTCGTGTCATTAGGGAGGTTGAGAACCACTGTCCTAGAGCAAATTATTTAACTTCCCTAAGCCATTCTTTCCATACCTATAAAGTGGGAATAATAGTATTTTATAGGGTTATAAAAATTTTACTGACATAACAACTTAAGCATTTAGTGTCATATCTGGTATATGGTTAAAAACTCAATTTTAACTATTATTGCTTTTTTTCAGTCTCAAGTTTTTTGTTTATTTTAGTATCTAAACACATTGATTGGAGACCCTAGATGACCTAAATTTCTAGTTTAATGCTTTAGAAACATTTTTGGGAACTAGAATTAAAAATATATGGTTATTTAATTAAAGCTTTATGAATCTGGTATATATCCTTTATATGTTTCAGTTTTACTAAGAATCTCAGAAATAATCTTATATATAAAAATTTGTTTGTCTCTCTTTTTTGTAATTATTGCTTTAAAAAATTGGAGTTCTTATTTTCTTTTTACTGTGATTCTCTGAGGCAGTATTCTAAATAGGGGGTTTCTGTGTGTATACATGTGGATACATATACAGACGATATATTTGCTCGTATTCTTTTACAATAAATCACTGTCTTTGATTTCAGCATATTTCCCTTATTCAGAAATGAAACAATACCACGCTATTAGTAAACCTGTTTTGAGCATTATAATGTTTACATGCATAATTTTGTGACTCTTCATTAGATTGTGCATTCACTTGGTACAAGGGTTAGGACTTATTCATCTTTTCACCAAAGGAATATTCCAGGATCAGTCCTATAGTAGTTGTTCAGAAATTTACCATGAAAATCATAATTAGTCATTTCAGAATAGAGATTTAAGAGGAGAAATAATCCTTTTTACTGTATCATAAATTCTATCCCGAAGAGTAACTTATCCCAGGTCATAGCTATCTGGAGACAGAGTCAGGATAGTAATTCCTCTGTCTCATGTGAAACTTTTCTTCCATTATAATGTTCAATAGCTCAGCCTTCCCAACTCTAGTTTTATGCGGAAGCACCAGAGGGCGCTGTCTAATATATACAGAATATATACATTTCTTTCTTTCTTTTTTTTTTTTTTTTTTGAGACAGAGTCTCACTATGTTGCCCTTGGTAGAGTGCCCTGGTGTCACAACTCACAGCAACCTCAAACTCTTGGGCTTAAGTGATTCTCTTACCTCAGCAGCCTCCCAAGTAGCTGGGACTACAGGTGCCTGCCACAATGCCCGGCTATTTTTTTGTTGCAGTTGTCATTGTTGTTTAGCAGGCCTGGACCGGGTTTGAACCCACCAGCCTCAGTGTATGTAGCTGGTGCCCTACCCCCTGAGCTACAGGTGCCCAGACGATACAGCATATTTTTAACATTAGAGCTCATTCCTAAAAACAGTGGCTTATTACCTTATACAGAAGCATGGTGTTTTTGATATAAATTATTCTCATTTCAGTAATTCTCCCAACTTAATAATTTGCTTTTTTAAATGGTGTCATAATCTCATATTGTCAATTTTTTTTTTTTTTTTTTTTTGAGACAGAGTCTCACTTTGTCACCTTGGTAGAGTGCCATGGCATCATAGCTTACAGTAACCTCAAATTCTTGGGCTCAAGAGACCCTCTTGCCTCTGTTTCTCATTTTTACTAGAGATGGGGTCTCACTCTTGCTCATACTGGTTTTGAACTTGTGAACTCAAACAATCCACCTGCCTTGGCCTCCCAGAGCACTAGGATTACAGGCAAGAGCCACCCATGCCCAGCCCTATATTGTCACTTTTAATACTTTGAATCACGTATGATATTAATCATTGTTAAAAACTTTTGTAAAAATAATTTGTTGGGAACATTTAAGTAGTTGTTTTGAAAGTAACCTTAGGAATAATCAACACTTTTTCTTTATTCAAATTAATCTTGACTATATATAGAAGAAGAAGAAATATAACAGATAAGGTTGTTGATTTTGTGAATCCACCTTCTTTGATTAGAAGGCAGCTATAAAACATTGCTTTGAGAATAAAAGAAAGATATTATTAGAGAATTATAATAAATAGCATTTGTAGTAATAGTAGCAGCAACTGCATTTATTGAATTTTATTATGTCCCAGACAATAACTTTATGCTGTGGGCACTATCAGTCAGCTCTGGAGACCTAGTGCTTGAGAGTAAATGTGGCCACAGTCATACAGTTTGATGGTGATGGCACAGTTTGAAATCAGAAATTATTTCCAAGGTTCAGGGGGCTTTTTCATTCTAAAATCTTAATCTACATTCTGGAGTTATACTGGAGGCAAGAGTCATTTTGGATAAATGCATGCCTTTTGAAAATATGAGACCTAACCATGTGTCATTATCACTGCCTCTTCACCTTTGTCTGGAAGAAGCTCATCTTCCAAGTTGAGAAAAGAATATAGTTGAGATATATTTCCACGAGGGTTATAGTAGAAATAGAAACTATCGGAGCATAGTAGAACAGAAGGAATAAAGGGAGCTCAATTTCAGTGACATGATCTTTCTCTGTTTTTATTATTAATAGAATTTCTAGAAGTGGATGAATACCCAGAACATATTAAAAATTTGGTACAGAAAGAGAGAGAATTGGAAGAACAAGAAAAGAGGCAACGAGAAATTGAGCGCAATACGTGCAAGGTTGTATTCCAGAATTTTATTTTTAATTGATAGTGCTATTTAAGTTTGTTTAGCTCTAATTCTCATAACCAACTCATTGAGTTGACTCTTTAGACAGTTATGCTGCCATACCAGTATTACCAACTATACTAGAAAGGTAAAGTTTGGTTTGTTTTGATGCATAAAAACTCAGTAACGTATACATAGTGATAATGTTGAGTGCTATGAGGCTTCAATGAGGTAGGCGTTCTCACAGTCTACCATAGAAGAATAAATCAGTAAAACCTGTCTAGATAAAAATTGAGAGAGTAGTGTTTATCAAGAACCTCAAGCGAATTTATATTCTTATATAATTTCTCTTATGTAAATATTACTTAGTGAAATAATCACAGACACTATAAAAATCTTGACTACAGGATGTTCATCACAATATTTTCTAAACTATGGAAATATTGGAAGCAACCTGAATGTGTATCAGTAGGGAAATGATTATACGAATTATGATATGTGCTTATAAAAACATACAGTTGTTAAAATTAATGTTTTTGAGTTTTTTATGTTGTGAGACATCATGTCACTATCAATTAGTACATGAGAAAAACAGACACAAGAAAGAATGATCTCAATTATGTTCTTTAAAAAAACAGGTTTTGACAGAAAAAAAATGCTGTCTACAAAAGAATTAGGCTTTGATTCTTGCCTTGCGGAATTAATGATGATATTTTATATTTTCTAGATAAAATTATTCTGTTTGCATCCTGTGAAACAAGTAATGATGGAAAATAAATTGGAGGTTCATAAGGATAAAACATTGAAGGAAGCAGTAGAAATGGCTTATAAGGTATGTTAAATTGCATTGTTGGCATATACTTATTGATACCTGATATAACACATGAATATTATTTCCCAAGTTTTTATTATAGTTGTAATACAAGCACCTATAGTAACTTTGATAACTTATTAACTTATATTTCTCTTGCAGGGTATTATTTATACCTCTTCTTTGGAACATACTCAGTTGATTTTCCCCAGAATTAGAATTAGAAACAAAATGTTTATTTGTTCCTTCCAGTCATTTAGCAGGTATTTATTGAGTGTCTGCTGTATGAGGAATTAGAGATATGAGAGTGAACAAGACAATATGAAGAGTTAGAACACCATGGTCATTGTCCTCATGGAGTTTGTAGTCTATTGGAAAACACAAACAAATATTTAAATGTTATAATCTGCGATTGTTTTATTATCTGAATGCTATCAAGTAAATCAGTAGCATATTGAGATTAATTTATTCTGAGGCCTTCACCTTAAGAAGGAGACAGCTATGCAGAAAGTTGGGGAATGATATTCTAAGTAGAGTGAGCAGCTTGTACAAAAACTCTGAAGGGAGGAAGTGCAAAGCTTAAAGAAGGAGTAGTGTGGTTAGATTGTCTTGAATGAGCATAGAGTTGTATGAAATGTAATTAGAGGCTTCGTAGGAATGGTGGAAGTCTACATTTTGTTCTAAGACTAATGGAAGTTATTAGTGAGGTTTGAAAGACAAATAGAAAGGGAGGCACGTTTTATCAACTTATTCTAAAATGTCATTTGTGATACTTGACAGATTAAATTTTTCTCCTTTCCATATGAGCATTAACAGAATTTGACTGAAATAAAACCATTCTTACCTATAGAAAAAATTGTATACTGTATCATTTCATGTATAATTATAGAGAAATAATGAGGAACTAAAAATAGCAGAGGAAAAACAAAATAGCAGAGAGGATACTTGACATTTTTTCTCAAAGTGTGATCCAGCACAACCTGCACCAGAGTCACAGTCTTATTGAAAATGCTAATTCCTGCAAATTAGTCAGAATTTCTGTGTTGGAGCCTGGGAAATATGCATTTTAAACAAGTATCTCAGGACAGAAATAAGTCAACCTTATGTACCAAAAAGAGATTTATTTTTGATTAGTAAAGATCAGTGGGAACATATGAAGGTTTATAAATCTTCTTAAAAAATAATTGCAAACATTAATGAGCATTGAAGACTTCCAGGCAGTCCTACTAGGTTTGTTTAAGAGGCTTATTTCCTATTCAGGAGTTATTGAACCCCGGGTATGTCACCTCCTAGTGACATGAGCTAGAGGGAAATTTTATGGTAGAACTTCTATGTCATGAACTGTAGTTATTCCAAAGGGATGTCCAGAGAGGAATGGGGTGCCACTTGGGAGACATAGAGGCTGCAGTGGCTTTAAGACATTTGCTGTCCTCTTATACCTAGGAAAACTATTAATAGACACATGAATTATCAATTTTTTTCCAAATTGTATTATGAGAACAAAAGATGCATGTCTGGTTGGTTGTTGAATTGGTTTCCCTCATGTTTCCAGTTTAGTAATTACAGAGCAATAGATTATAATACATTGCTATCAGTTCTACATCTAAAGTTTAGGATGTTAACTTTTAAAAAAAATAAAAATAGGGTAGCGCCTGTGACTCAAAGGAGTAGGGCGCTGGCCTCCTATACCGGAGGTGGCAGGTTCAAACCCAGCCCTGACCAAAAACTGCAAAAAAATAAAAATTAAAAATTGCTTTAAATTAATGCATAATTTGTATAGTTTAAGGCATAATAAAACATGATTATTTAAAAATAACATTTAAGTTTTGCCTACAAACTTTGCTGTTTTTGATGCAAATTACAAGTTTGTAGGTTCTACTTGTTAGGACCTATTGGTAATGTTATTTACACACCAGACTAAAATGCTATATATGTATTTTTTCTTCTTTCTGGGTGATTGTTTTCTTTTAGATGATGGATTTAGAAGAGATAATACCCCTGGATTGTTGTCGCCTTGTTAAATATGATGAGTTTCATGATTATCTGGAACAATCATATGAAGGAGAAGAAGAGACACCAATGGGCCTTCTACTAGGTGGAGTCAAGTCAACATACATGTTTGATCTGCTGTTGGAGACAAGAAAGCCTGATCAGGTTTTCCAGTCTTATAAACCTGGAGGTATGCAGTTTTACACTACTTTGAGTTGTATTGGACTTAAAATTTTCATGAGAAAAATATTTTTATAGAAATGAATATAATTTTAAAAATTATATGGTCTTAAAATGTAGAATAATTTTGACAGGCTAGGAAGTAGTAACAAGCTTGGAATTAAGTTCTAGATTACTTGCAAAGAGTTATACGCAGAATTTATAAAAGAAACACTAACAAAAAATGACAAAACTTCTAGCTTATGATCTTCAGTGGGATGTTTCTTCTCCAATAATCATTCTGTATGCTGTAAATCCCTAAAGTTATCAGTTCATCTCTTATGATCTATCTTTCTTTATAGAGAAGTCCTTGGTCCAAAAGGTGTATTCCCATAAAGTCTTAGAAGTAGAGTCTGTTTTTCTGAATATCTTTGGGGAATGGATTCATAATGCAACCAGTATCAATATTTAAAATTTGTTTTCATCTTTTCTACTTTTGAAAAGGTGCCAGAGACTTCAGCTTTCCCTTTCTTTATTAAATCTGTCACATTCATTCACTATAGTGGGTTTTTTCCTTTGTTCAGGACTGCATTGAAAAGCAAATTACCATATCTCCAGTTTTCCCAAAGTAGTCTCTAAAGACAGTTATGTTGTCTTTCTCATGTTTGAGTTTTAACAAATGGGAGAAAATCAAAACGTTTAAATAATTGTACAAAATTTTTACATTGTGTTGTGACCGTAACTCCCTTGTATCAATGGTTAATCAGAATTCAGACTTATGTTTTCTGTGGTTTTTTTCATAAAAGGTAAACTTACAAAACCTTCTTCTACCCTTTCAAATTCTGTTCCTCTGTGGGTCCTGTATTTATCTACTTGTTTTTATGAAGGCCTCTCTGTCCAAAGTAGGTCAGGCGTAGTATTCTTTCAAAAAGCTTTCTCCTAAGCAGGTAAATTTCATTTCTGAAAACTGGTGATGCCCACTTTAATCAGACTCTGCCCTCTCTGTGGAGTCACTTGGAACTTGCAGGTTATTTTTGAATTACATAGAAAAAAGATGGAATGATCACAGTGTAAGATGTGTCAGCAGTAATACCACTTTTTTGATTTAGAACTCTAAATGTGAGTGTAGGTTATAAAACACAAAGTAATTTCCTTTGTTCATTAATAGTCAAACCTTTCGCAGAGTATTTTGTCAAATTTAGAGTAACAACATAGAGAAAACTGAGGATTGACATATAATACATGGAAGAGGTTAAAAGAAGTGAAGAATATCTGTAAATGTGGTGTTTGAACATCATTTATTATTAAGAGACCAAAATTTAGTTATAAACATGACCTCTTTAAAAGAGAAGAGAAGATGAGATTAATTGTAATGTGAAGGATTTAAGTGAAAAAAGCAAACACATAAGCCAGAATAGTTTTTGTGCAGAATTTTCCCTATTCCAATAAAGAATGTTATTTTGAGGAGAGGAAGTCTTTGATTATGACAAGATTTTGAATAGTTTAATCAAGGTTGTTCAGAAGCAAGTCGGGGTGTCATGCCTCTTTGTTGTTTGGTTTGCAGCCTAGTTTTTTTTTTTTTCTCTTGAGTTTTTGGCCAGGGCTGGGTTTGAACCCGTACCTCTGGTATGTGGGGCCATTGCCCTACTCCTCTGAACCACAGGCGCTGCCCTGCACGATAGTTTTTTTAAATAATTATTTAGTGTTGTGGTTTTGGTCTGTATTTGGAACTTTGGATTTGTATTCTTAATGTGTTTGATAAATTTAACAGTATTGTCATATTTTACAAGGAAAGCATGTTTTTTTAAAAATCACATTTTTACTTTTGTAGGTATATAAATAAAAAATAATGCTTCCTAATGAAGACTACTATTTAACATTTTTATAAAGAGAGCTAGGAGAATTTTATAGTAGCCTCATTTCCATTTCTTTATATCTGTTTGCTTATATTGTGATAAATTATGAAAGAGATATTCTTAACTGTGTTTTACACACGTATAACATACATCTGCTATCTTGGTAATTGGAAAATACTATCTTTAGAAACACATTAAGCATGCATCACTCATGTAACATACATTAAAATGATAACTTCCAATTATGTTTTTGTGTCTTCCAATGTGACAGAAGTGATGGTGAAAGTTCATGTTGTTGATCTAAAGGCAGAGTCTGTAGCTGCTCCTATAACTGTTCGTGCTTACTTAAATCAGACAGTTACAGAGTTCAAGCAACTGATTGCAAAGGTAAGTTTTAAAATTAGTCAGTGAATATTTTTAAGTGCCTGCTGTGTCCAAGGCACTGTGTGGTATTGAGTAAGATATAAACTCTACTTCAAGGAGCTAATACATGTAGTTAGGAGACAACTCTATTTAGGAAGAGACACTTCAAATAGAAGAAAGAGTTGAACAAAGTATTGACTTAAGGAAGTTGAGGCAAATGCATGTAGCAATGACTTGTATGTTTTGGCTGGATCATTATAAAATATAGGCCTAGAAATATAAGTACAAATTATTAAGAGATTTACACAGTAAGTACAAAAATTGAGGTTCTCTTTGGTGAATGCAATAGGAAGTAGATTTTGTTTGTTTTCTATTTAAGTACAGCAGTAGAATGATTAGAGCTGTGCTGTAGAATGGTGACTTGGTGACACTGGACTAGTGTTCCTGATAGACTGAGGGTGAGTCAGGAATCGACATGAGGGGACTGTTAAAATAACTCGGGTGAAGATGCGTGATTGGGAATGGAGAAGGCGTAGATTTTGAGAGTGATTACATGAATAGAATCTGCAGGAGCTGTAATGGTAAATGTCGGGGTAAGGCAGAAGCACAGATAACCAGACAGGCTTCAAACCTGGGTAACCAGGAAGGTTGTGGCATGTTCGGCATGTTCACAGAAATAGAGGAGGAAAGTGGAGCAGCAGACTTGACGGGGAAGGTGATGAATTAAATACCGGTGCCGTTGCGTGAGGGAGTGATAAAGAATATAGGCTCATTCTGAGTTCTTGAGCTGGAAAAATGTAATGATGAAAACATTTAGATTTCCTTGGGCAAAAGGACTAGTCCACTTTATACAGATGATCGTTGATTTAGCAAATCTTGAACACACAAAACAGGCAACATTTTGTAGGGTTCCTGAACCCCAGGTTAAGATCCCTGGTGTAATGGAAATTATTCAATAATTGCACATCAAGAAATCAAGTTCAGTTTTCAGTCATTCATCTTATACTTGTTTCTTATCCTTTTATCTGGGGTTTTTAATACCTGCCTGATAGGGTTATAGGATGTTAATCTTAAAATGCTCTGTAAAAAAGTGGTGAAGTATTATATAAGAATTGGTAGTTATTTATTTAAAAGAAGGAATAATGAGTCCTAATGCTTTGCCAAAGTAATAATTGCTAGGGAACAAATCATTTTGTGAAGTCACATTTTATGATTAAATTGCTCATAAATATATATTATATTAGTGTAATTTGCTCTGTATTACATTAAAAAAATATAAATGCCAACGTAAAAAAAATTCAATTTAGAGTGTGAACACTGAGGAAATATAATATATAACATAAAGGAAAGATGCAACAGCCCCTTCCCTGGAAAAGCTAATGGTCTTGGGGAAAAATATATCCATAGAGAATAAACACAATCCTAAAACATTGTGTCAACAAATACAATGTTTTACAGCATAACTAGACTGCCTACCAATTAGGTACTCAGAACTGAAACCATTAGTCAGTATTGAAAACAAATTGTTTTTTCAAATGTAAATTATTTTATCTGCTCCATTCATGTGAAATTCATAAAATGACTTCAAAAGTTCAGAGTGTAGAATTTCAGAATAAATTTTACCTATGAATCTTCTCATTTTATACAAAGGAAAATGGATTTAGTAAAACTATTAACAACTGTTCATAGTATACAAAAGAGCCTAGCAAAACCCAGGAAATTAAATAGATGTCAGTTGGAGGTCAGCACTCTAGTTATTTAATTTCTCTAAAATCGAATCATCTCATTTACTTGGCAAGTTTGAGAGGAACAGAATTTCTAGCGAAAAATCTTGAACTTTAAAATGGTTTCAGAGGATATATTAATAAGTGGTACTTTTTCTCCTGATTTGTAGCATAATTAATGCACATAACTAATAGTTTTTCCCTTAGCTTTTCAAAAATTTTAAAACTTCAACTAAAATTATTTTTTGCCCTGGTACTTTTAAAAAGAATTCATCAATATCTTGTTTTATTCTATTTCTTTCTTTCTTTCTTTTCTTTTCTTTTCTTTTTTTTTTTTTTTTTTGAGACAGAGCCTTAAGCTGTCACCCTGGGTAGGGTGCTACGGCATCACAGCTCACAGCAGCCTCCAACTCCTGGGCTCAAGCAAGTCTCCTGCCTCAGCGTCCCAAGTAGCTGGGACCACAGGCGCCTGCCACAACGCCCGGCTATTTTTTTGGTTGCAGCTGTCATTATTGTTTGGCGAGCCCGGGCTGGATTCGAACCCACCACCTTAGGTGTATGTGGCTGGTGCCTTAGCCACTTGAGCCATAGGCGCCAAGCCTGTATTTCTTTTTTTTTAATGCTTTTTTTTGGAAAGGAGAACTTTATTTCTTGTTTTGTATTTCAGATTAATATGGAGTACAAATCATTAGGTTACAGTATTTGCTTTTGTTAGGTAAGTTCCCTGTTGTAGGTTGTAACTATTAGATAAGAGCACACCAACCCCTTTGTCTCCTCCCCTTCCTGTTTTGCTTTATTTCTAAGTCATGAAGAATTATTTTTAAAAGAATACTGTTTATTAAATTGCTTTTATTATAGGCTATCCATTTACCTGCTGAAACAATGAGAATAGTGCTGGAACGCTGCTATAATGATTTGCGTCTTCTCAGTGTGCCCACTAAAACCCTAAAAGCCGAAGGATTTTTTAGAAGTAATAAGGTATGTCTTTTATTTTTTCATTACTATTTTCTATGCTGGTTGGTAACACCATCTGCCTGGAGCTTAAATTCTTACATCCCCAAAGTGTTTACCTTCCTTCGTGGTTGCTGGTTCCTCTCCTCTTGCCTTTGTTCATGACAGCTCCACTTGGAGTGTTCTTACTCCTCTCCCTACATTTTTATTCTCAAGCTCCAGTGTAGTCCTTCCTCTCTGGTGAAAGCCTTCATGACTATTTCTGCCCACAGTGATTATGTCCTCTGAATTTTGTTCATTCTTAAACTTCTCCCTGAAAGCAGTACTTGATAGTGTGTCAGAAGCATGCTCAGTCTAGAGGTAATTGCACTTGCCTTTGCCTACTCACTTGTCTCTGTTAGAAAGAAGAAAATTCATGTCGATTCGCTTGTTGTATCTCTTGATACCATTTTGTGTTCCATCATTTATTATTTCTCGTACGTGTTTCTTCCTAATGTGTTGCTTCATGCTAGATAAGTTGTATCCAGAGTTTTCCTTGTTTGCCATCTTTTATTTATCACTTTTTTCCAGTCTTATTTTTCTTAGGATAGTCTAGTGTTTTATGTCATTTAACCCTATTTAGTATTGTTTTATTGATCCTAATGTACAATTATTCACCTTTTTTTTTCTAAGACTTTTCTGTGTGGAGTTGAGTGTGTAAAACATTAAAATCTCATCCAGATACACCTGATATTAAAATTGGAGAAAATATATTATTATAAGGGGGAAATTACAAACATATTTCACTTATAAATGAGGATGCAGTATGATAAACAACATATTAACATGTTGAATTAAAAAGTAACGTTTAAGTAATGTACTTTGGTCCAAATTAAATACAATTTATATAAGAATTAGTCACTAATTTCTTTCTTATTTTTCTACTTATCCAGATTAAGTAGAATGATTTTGAAGTATTCTATTATGTATAAGATTTGGCATGATCTGTTTTTTTGAAATTATCTGTTACTTTCATTTATAAATATCAGTTGTCTATTTTTTTTGAGTCTTTGGAAAAAACAAAAGAAGAAGAAGTAGTTAACTGATCAAAGTATTCTATAATAGACATACTTCTGTCTGACAATGTGAATGTTACTTTCTTCACATTATTACTATTATTATTACTTAATATTTTGTTGCAGCAATCGTCTGATTTCTGAATGTATTTATCTTCATTCGTCCTTCATGAGGTTTTTGTTCTCAGTCCTTATGTTAAATATTGTTATTGTCATTAAATTTAGCCTTTTTAATTCTGTAAAGGCAAAAGTGGAAACCTAATATACACGTATAAGTAAGAAAAATTAATTAAAAAATAAATAAATAAATAAAATCTCATCCACCCCAATACTGTTTTAGGGTAAGGAGTGCAAGAAGGATCTAACTTTGTTTGCTTTTTTTTTTTTTTTATTTAAATTGTTTTTCTTAAAGAGTTAGCAAGTAGTCTCAATTTGTAACATTTACTAAGTACAACAATGATAGAATCATTCATGTAAAACTCAACATGTTATTGATAATTGCTAAATTTAGGTGTGCAAATTTCACTTTTTTAGAAATTATTATAGAAATTTTTAAATATATACAGAAGTGGAAGGAACAGTATAATGCCCTCATATGTCCCTGTCACCCAATTTCTTCAATGATCAACTCTTGCTTCATCTATATTTAATCACATACTTTCTCCAGATTATTTGATAAACTTCCCCAGCATCTTCTATCTCTTAAGGATGAAGACTCTTTAAAAAATATAAAATTACGGGCAGTGCCTGTGGCTCAATGAGTAGGGCACCGGCCCCATATACTGAGGGTGGTGGGATCAAACTGGCCCTTGCTGAACTGCAACCAAAAAATAGCCGGGCGTTGTGGCGGGTGCCTGTAGTCCCAGCTACTCGGGAGGCTGAAGCAAGAGAATCACTTAAGCTCAGGAGTTAGAGATTGCTGTGAGCTGTGTGACGCCATGGCACTCTACCAAGGGCAACAAAGTGAGACTCTGTCTCTACAAAAAATAAATAAATAAAAATACAGAATTACATTATATACCTCAAAAATTTAAAATGCCTCAATATTAGATAATATCTAGTCAGTGTTCAGAGTTCATTGTCGTACAAAAATTGTTTTTGTAAGTTTTGTGTGTGCTTTTTGTTTGCATCCTTGTTATTTGTTATAAAACCAAGTCATTTGCCCATTAAATTTTTTTCTGGATTTTGGTGTTGCATTCCCAGAGTATCTTTATACATGTTCTTTTATCTGTATTCATGCTGGGTAAGTCAACCCAGCACAACCCACAACCCAGTTCTGGAGCCTAAATGAAACTTTATCCTCACAAATTTTATAACTTAACTACACATTGTCTTATATTGATGTGATATGATGATGAATGAGAATGTTGCTAAAATTAATGATTTAAGATTTAATATAATTTTTTTACCATTTAGGTGTTTGTTGAAAGTTCTGAGACATTGGATTATCAGATGGCCTTCACAGACTCTCATTTATGGAAGCTTCTGGATCGGCATGCAAATACAATCAGATTATTTGTTTTGCTACCTGAACAATCTCCAGGATCTTATTCCAAAAGGACAACATACCAGAAAGCTGGAGGTGATTCTGGTAATGTAGATGATGATTGTGAAAGAGTCAAAGGACCTGTTGGGAGCCTAAAGTCTGTGGAAGCTATTCTAGAAGAAAGCACTGAAAAACTCAAAAGCTTGTCACTGCAACAACAACAGGATGGCGATAATGGGGACAGCAGCAAAAGTACTGAGACAAGTGACTTTGAAAATATCGAATCACCTCTCAATGAGAGGGACTCTTCAGCATCCGTGGATAATAGAGAACTTGAACAGCATATTCAGACTTCTGATCCAGAAAATTTTCAGTCTGAAGAACGATCAGACTCTGATGTGAATAACGACAGGAGTACGAGTTCAGTGGACAGTGATATTCTCAGCTCCAGTCATAGCAGTGATACTTTGTGCAATGCAGACAGTGCTCAGATCCCTTTGGCTAATGGACTTGACTCTCACAGTATCACAAGTAGTAGAAGAACTAAAGCAAATGAAGGGAAAAAAGAGACATGGGATACCGCAGAAGAAGACTCTGGAACTGATAGTGAATATGATGAGAGTGGCAAGAGTAGGGGAGAAATGCAGTACATGTATTTCAAAGCAGAACCCTATGCTGCAGATGAAGGTTCTGGGGAAGGACATAAATGTATGTACTTCACAGGAAAAAGGGTCCTTGAAAAGCATCAGTTTTTCTCTCCATTTATTTAAATTTTTAGTTAAGCATTAGATACTTAGTTCTGTGGTCACTTGTAACTTTCTGGATTGTAAGATTATTCTCTGTTGACTTTTCTTTCATTGTCAATGCAGTAACGGTGAACGGTATTATTAGACCTGGGCAATATATTAGGTAGTAATTATGTCAGTACTCTGGTGGGATAAGTAAAATAGTAGTATTCAGTATTGGAATGGAATTAATGACAAAAGTACTAAGTAAAAATAATCAGGAATACTGTATAAATAATATACACAACAAAAAGCCCAGACATGTTAGAAAATGTGATATTCAATGCTTAGGAAAATATTTCTACATCCTTACCCTTCTCTCTGCTTCCTTCCTACACCTTCTCAAATGTCCATAGTGAACTAGGAAAGTTAGAGAAAAAGGGCTTTAAAATAATTTTTTTTGTTGTTATATTGAAATAATTCCAGGCAAGGTATAAACTAGAAATTAAGATGCATACATGTCAAAAAGATAGAAGAGATCTATCAGTTTGGGCATTTGGGACAAGCAGCAACCACAAAAACTTACTAACAAATGGGTGAGACTTAAAATAACTTTTACACTGGGGGCAGCGCCTATGGCTCAGAGGAGAAGGGCACCAGCCCCATATGCCAGAGGTGGTGGGTTCAAACCCAGCCCTGGCCAAAAACTGCAAAAAAAAAAAAAAAAAAAGAGCTTTTCTACAACCCAAGACTAAAACCAGCTAAGGAATTAAGCAAGCTCTCAATACACAAATTCTTTGTTTAGGTGTAAAAGGGAATACTTTCCACTATTCTTTAACAAAGCAAATATTAATATCACTCCTAACATTTTTATATTTTACTTGTCCAAGCAATTCTCACTTAAAGCTTCTCTAACCTTAATAAAGCAAACATTGATATCATTGACAGATAAGAAAACTGAAGCTCACAGGGGCTGCTGAATGCCTTGCCTAGAAGTACATATATAGCTAGTAAGTAGGACCATTACTAGAATGTCAGGCTTCCAATTGAATATACTTGCTCCTTTTACCTTTGGGAGAGAGCCCAAAGTGTGTTTCTAATACTTTTTTGTGTGGGATTATATGTAAAACATTCACATGTCTCATCCACCCTAATCCACGCTTCATCCACTCATCCAATTAATATTTTCCGAATCTGGGCTAGATCCCAAGGCCATGATGTTATTAGAAGTAGGGATGACCAGGGTGCAGCTTTGTGTTCCATCTGATGGAGAACAGTGCACAGCCAGTCACCCTGAAAGTTGTGTCATGATGCTTATAGTCTCAAAATGCTGTCTTTTAAGAGGAAGTGGTAGAAAATTTGAAATCAGCAATAAAAGTATATAGATTTGTGTTTTTAACTAGTTAGATTAGATTAACACTGGGATTGGCTCAGCACCTGTGGCTCAAGCGGCTAAGGCGCCAGCCACATACACCTAAGGTGGCGGGTTCAAATCCAGCCTGGGCCCACCAAACAACAATGATGGCTGCAACCAAAAAACAGCCGGGCATTGTGGCGGGTGCCTGTGGTCCCAGCTACTTGGGAGGCTGAGGCAGGAGACTCGCTTGAGCCCAGGAGTTGGAGGTTGCTGTGAGCTGCGATGCCACGGCACTCTACCCAGGGGGATAGCTTGAGGCTCTGTCTCAAAAAAAAAAAAAAAAAAGAAAGACTAACACTGGGATTATGTGGCATCCTTACATATATCTTGCAGAAACTTAAGTGTGAAAATGTAGATTGGTAGGCCAAAATGGAGACAAAGAAATCATATTATAATAATACTTTAAATTTCTATGGAGCATTTACCTCGTAAGGCTCAATAAATTGCATCATTGCATTTAGTTCTCTTAATAGCTCTGTGAAATTGTTGTTAGACAATTTTAACTGAACTGGGTCAAACAGACTAAGCAATTTGCCTAAGATCACACAGCCAGTAGGTCATACTGCTAGAATCCAACATAGGTTTTCTGATTGTGAGCCACATGTGTGCTGCCACTGTTCCTTACTCTCCTAACACTCTCCCACATAGTAGGGAAGATAGTAGGAGCTGCTCTTCTTTTCTTACCATATTCACCTAATCAAGAGCATTGGAAAAATTAAAAGTAGCTACCTCCTCTTTCAGAAAAGATTGGAAATTTCTTTTAAGTGCCTTATTTTAAAACAATGGCCTGAAAATTTGACTGTCTTATAGTTTCCACCTCAGAAAGTATTCAATGGCAATGTATAGAATTATAGTTTGAAAAGTCTTCTCCATCTTAGAGTAGTTTACAGAATCTTTAAAAAGGAGATTGTTGGCTATTTTAACCTTTTAGAAATTCATACTAGGCTAATTTACTAGTGTTCATTGAAATAGTAAACATGGTGATGAAGAGAAATCATTTGCTATAATTTACATATGTAGGTGTTCAGAGCCATGCAGAAGGCTTGTTTGAAAAGAAAAATGAATACTCTGGAAAATACCTTCTCGTATTAACTGGGTTAGGGATGGGGCAGTAGGGATGGTGACCAGCAACCAGGTTTTTCAGGAGCCTGTACTAAAACTAATTCATGGCAGGACCTTGGTGGTCTAAAAGTAGGTGTCTGGGGAAGTATGAATGATGAGTAATAATACAGGTTCCTCGGACTGATGAAATGGCAAAGGGTAAGAAGTAAACAAAGAATTTCATATCTGGGGCAGTGCCTGTGGCTCAAGGAGTAGGGCACCAGCCCCATATACTGGAGGTGGCGGGTTCAAACCCAGCCCTGGCCAAAAACTGCCCAAAAAAAAAGAATTTCATATCTAAAGTATGACAAACTATGGTGCAGGCAGTTCACCTAGGAATAATTGAATTATACTTACAATGATGGTCTTTAAGCTATCAGTTATAATTCAGGAGTTGTTTCAGAGAATAATTATAAACCACTCTCTGAAAATACTGTGGGAATGTGACTCACTTATAACTTATAGGCCTTGAGTATAAACAGAAAAGCCAAGTTAAATGTAATAATAAGGCATTTGCACTAAAATTTCTTTGTACAATTTTGGTTACCACTGTATTCAAAAAATACATAAGAGAAAGGAAAGATATTTTTAGTTTGTATTGTCAAGAAACTAAATTCTTCAGTCTAAAGAGATAGATGGGAAAATCTCAAAAACTATAATTATAGCCAGCAAATTAACCTAACATTCTTGCCAGCACTACACTAAACATTTTACATGTATTGTCCCAAAACATAAATACTATTATCTCCATTTTACAGTAAAGGTAACTGAAATACAGAGAACTTAAGAAGTTAAAGTCACAAATCTAATATACAAAGAGGAGCCAGGAATTCATTGAGGCCACACCATCTAATTCCAGAGCCACTTTGTCTTAATCACCATATTAGACCATGTTAATAATCAACATGTGTGTCTTCCTGTGACACAACACTACGAGTGGTTAGGAAAGAAACCAAAATGGCAACAATAGCTTGTATTTGAATAATGCTTTAGAATTTACTACATTTGATGTAACAACATATCTGTAAGAGTGGTATTATGATTCTTCACATTAGATGACCTACTTACAGCCATTTATCAGACTAAAATAGCAAAACTGAAATCCAGCCCATAAGCTTTTTAATTCTACTTGAGTAATTTTTCCATTATAGTTGTTTTTTTATTTTGTTTTTTGGGACAGGGTCTCACCGTCTTGCCCTGGCTAGAGTGCATGTCTTGCCCAAGCTGGAGTACAGTGGCAACCTCAGTTCACTGCAACCTCAAACTGCTGGGCTCAAGTGATCCTTCTGCCTCAGCCTCCCAAGTAGCTGGGACTACAGAGACAGTGTTTTGCTGTGTTATTCAGGCTGGTCTCAAACTTCTGGCCTTTGCCTTCCAAAGTGCTAGGACAACAAGCATGAGTCACCATGCCTGTCCTCCACTTCATCTTTCTCTCAAGAAATTTGGTAACTTGCTAGATAGGGTAATAGTGGCTTCTTAGTCAAAAGTTGGATTATTAACATGTAAGGCACTCCTTAAAGCCTAGAAATGAACATTTTAAAAAGAATTAAAAGAAATGCTGCCTCAAAAGGCAGATAGTAAATATAAATAAAGATCCTCACCCTCTTTTCTCCTCATTTGTACTTGTCCCATTTTCTGTATTGAACCTATTTGTTACATATTTTATAACCAGGGAAATAGTCGGTGAACATGAACTTACTTGAAAAATATACTTGGAAAAAATCAACCCAAGAGTTGGGATGACCTGGGAATGTGAACCAGGAGTGTTTTTAGGGTCTCATCCTTTACCTTTGTAGATTTAACAGAAAACAGGACCTACTAGGGGGGAGACTTGGGGCTGTAGAGGGACCCTGGGCCTGAGGCAGCACTGCCTTAGTACAAGAGAGAGAGACAACGGAGTTCTGTTTTGCTTTTCGCTAGAAAATGAAGGAAAGAGTAAATAGAAGCATTCCAGAAGTATCCTCCTGAGTGGTTACAAAATAAGGGACAAAAGATTTAAAAAGTTAAAAAATAAAGCTTACCAAAGATAATCTTATTACAATGCCAAGAGCACTTAACAGTAAGCCTGGACAAAGTGAGACTTTTAGGGACAGTTCCTGTCACAGCCCAAGCACACTGATAAAACAGACATCTTGGTGTGCTGCTAGTCGTGAGATATTTTTATCGTTTATCTACGCTAAAAGCATGATAAACATACTACCTCACTGAATTCGCAATGCTGTGAGCTGGGTTCTATTACTATCTCCATTTTTCTGATGCAGAAATAAAGGTATGGAGGCTGATGACTTCCTCCATGTCCCATAGCTAGTAAATAAGAAGGTGGGGTAGGGTTGGAGTCTGTAAGTGTATATGTGGTAGAATTCCTGAACGTTTGGCTTCAAATTCAGTGACAGACATACATAAATAAGCAACCTGGCTCTTAAGTAGCTCAGAACATTTCAGGCTGTCACATTACACCTGTTATAGACTTTGTGTTTTTTGTCCATTTGATGTAGTATATAGTAGGTAAAGTCTTTGCTGGAAGGGAGGACTTTTGCTGCTTACAGTACAATTAAAAGTTTATGATCTGTTTTGTTTATACTCAGAAGTTTCTTTTACATTTTTGTTCCTGTTTTGTTTTGGTTTTTTTGTGCTTAGGGTTGATGGTGCATGTTGATAAAAGAATTACCCTGGCAGCTTTCAAACAACATTTAGAGCCCTTTGTTGGAGTTTTGTCCTCTCACTTCAAGGTGTTTCGAGTGTATGCCAGCAATCAAGAGTTTGAGAGCGTCCGACTGAATGAGACACTTTCATCATTCTCTGATGACAATAAGGTTGATTAAAATAATCTTTGAATAATTAGAGTCTGTTTTAAAAATGATAGATTTGAGAACATCTTGCACTACTTCCAAGTAAGGTGCAATAGATACCCTCAAAAGATCACTTGTTTTGTAGTTGTTTGGGATTTTTTTTTAATTGTTGTTTTTCTTTGTTCATCTAACAAACATTTGTTAAATGTTAACTGTGTGTCAGTTACTGTTCTAGGTGCTGGGGATTCAGAGGTAAAAAGAGTCTATAATCTAAAGAATTATGACAAATTAAACAGCGAGGGTGAGAATGACTTGTTTTATTCTACTGAGACAACCCATCTAAAAAAATGTTTTTAATTTATAGATTACAATTAGATTGGGGAGAGCACTTAAAAAAGGAGAATACAGAGTTAAAGTGTACCAGCTTTTAGTCAATGAACAAGAGGTAAGTGATACATTTAAGAGCAATGTCAGGTTGCTTTTGTAGTTACTAAAAGATAAAATGCAGAGATTTTATTACTAGTCATTGTCTTTTCTCTGAAGCAGGGGTCAGGAAATTTTTTCTAGGAAATACTTTAGTTTTGCAAGCCATATTGTATGTCTGTTGCAATTACTCAATTCTGCCATTTGTAGCACAAAACAATAATAAACCAATGGGGATGAGAATGACTATGTCCCAGTGAAATTCTATTTACAAAAATAGGCAGCCTTAAACTTGACCCTCGGGCCGTTGTTTGTCACCCTCCTGCTTTGATGTGTTGCTGCAAATGCTGGAGGGAGGCAACATTTTCCTACTATTAAAAAGGAATCTTTTCGTGCTTGCTTTGTGCTTTCATAGAAAGCTACATGAGGATAGTAGTTAACCTGTAGAATCTATAAGTGTGTTTTGTGTTTAGAGAGTCATTTTAGTATTTAACAAGCATTTATATAGTGTTTATGCCATACTATAATGCTTTAAGTATTAACTCATGATATAAGTACTATTTATTCCCATTCTATAGTTGAAGAAACTGAGGCATAGAGATGTTATGTATCTTGGTCAGAGCCACACAACTTGTAAATGATGGGTTAATGGTCTAAACAGGCTATGATTTTTAAAGAGTAATCAATAAAATATATTTTAGTTCTTAGGGTATACAAGACTTCCAAATACCCAAAAGCATAAGTCAAAGATCATATTTTCAAGGTGTTTATAACCACTTATTGGGGATCTGGACAAATATAAAAACTGTAAATTTTTCATAAAATGCCTTTTTTTGTACAACAAATATTTTATCCAGCACCCATTATATCTCTTCCTCATGACCATTACAGTCATTTTGACTTACTGAGTCGGGGTTAGTGGATACTGTGTCTCTCTTGAGGCAACTGATTACTGGATTTGGAGAACAAGTCTGCATTTCCCTCATTTTAGTTCCTAAGAGTGGTTCTTTTTTTGCCTTCAAAATTACGATGATTTTATCACAAGCAGGGAAATATGAGTGCAATGTCTTATTTAATCTTCACAGGCACTTAGTGAGGGAGAAACTGTTTCTACTTTACAAATGAGCAAACTGAGCACAGGGAAGTTAGGTGAACTTGTCCAAGATGGCTGAGCTACTAGTAGATAGTAGAGCTAAGATTTAAAACAAGGAAGATAGACTCCTAAACTCAACCCCTTCATTGTTATACTGTAAAGTGAAAATTTTGCTAGTTCTTATGTCAATGCATAATTCCAGGCTCTAATTGTTTATGTTTACTTTCCCAGCCATGCAAGTTTCTGCTAGATGCTGTGTTTGCTAAAGGAATGACTGTACGGCAGTCAAAAGAGGAATTAATTCCTCAACTCAGGGAGCAGTGTGGCTTAGAACTCAGTATCGACAGGTAAAGTTAAATTTCAGTATCATCAGCAGTTTGAAGAAAGATTATATGGTCAATTGATATGGACTGGTATACTTTTCTAAAAGTAAAAGAATTAAGAATTTCTGTACTAGTTAGAGCTTTAGTTCTGCAGATTACGTTAATAGGACTAAGCAAGAGTATTAGAATTTTGTTTGAATTTCCTCTGGAGAATTCTAAATTTGAATTGCTGGAAGCATCTCATTACATTTTCCCCAAATTTTAATTAGTAACCATTTGACTTTTATGTTTGATCACAATTTGTTTCTTTGATATCAGATTAATGTCAATTTTTTAAGTTAAGGATTTCAAATCATAGTAGTTTTAACCGTCTTATATTTGTAGGTTTCGTCTAAGGAAAAAAACATGGAAGAACCCTGGCACTGTCTTTTTGGATTATCATATTTATGAAGAAGATATTAATATTTCCAGCAACTGGGAAGTTTTCCTTGAAGTTCTTGATGGTATTTTCAATATTTTTGTGAGGAAATATCAAATAGAAATGCTGTAGATTCTAGAGTCTAGGACTAATACTTGCCTATAGTTTTTAATCAGAAGTGAGTCGTACAGAATCTAATATATGTTATAGTATTTGTGTGTTATATTAAGTATAAAGATATTGTTGTTGTGGATTAATGTGATTCTTCCTCATGTTTAATCCCTGAGAGATTTATTTTTTTCCCTAGTGCCCCAGTGTAACTGCTTAAATTATTTTTGAGAGAATATTCAGCTTTTTCCCATCTTTCTCTGGGTCCTGTTTTTACCTTTTAAATATTTCTTCTTTCTCTAACTTTGGGACTATGTCCTTGCAGGGAAATTCCAATTGCAAAGATTTTTAGTACATTTTAAGGAAATCATTTTTTTCTTTTTTTTGAGACAGAGTCTCACTATATCACCCTAGGTAGAGTGCTGTGGCATCACAGCTCACAACAATCCAAACTCTTGGGCTCAAGCAAATCTCTTGCCTCAGCCTCCCAAGTAGCTGGGACTACAGGCATCTGCTGTAACGCCCAGCTATTTTTGTTGTTGTTGTTGTTGCTTAGCAGGCCTGGGCCAGGTTTGAACCTGCCAGCTGGGTGCATGTGGCCAGAGTCATAACTGCTGTGCCTTAAGCGCCAAGTCGGGAAATCCTAATAGTATTTTCTCAGCCATGTTTGTTACCTAGTTTCTTTTTCGTTATGTCTTATTTTGTATTGAGACTATGGTACTGATAATTTATAGCAGAGATTTGAGAACAAAGGCTGTCTTAGTTTTCTAGGCTGAGTGGTTTAAACAATGGAAATATATTGTCTCTCAGTTCTGGAGGCTGGAAGTCTGGGATGAAGTGTTGGCAGAGTTGGCTTCTTCTGAGGCCTGTCAGGAAGAATCTGTTCCCTATCTCCTCTCTTGGCTTCTCGTGGTCTGTTGGCCATCTTTGACAATCCTTAGCTTGTAGGTGCATCACCCAAGTCTTTGCTTTCATCTTAATACAGTATTCTCCTTGTGGGCTTGTCTGTTTCTATCCAGATTTCTCCTCTTTATAAACCACTAGTCATACTGAATTAGGACCCACCGTAATGACCTCATTTTAAATTGATTACCACTATAAAGATCCTGTTTCCAAATAAAGTTACATTGCAAAGTACTAGGTAATAGGACTTCAGCATGCCTTTTGGTGTAGTGGGTAAGGAGAGTATAAAACTTAACCTCTAGCAATGACCGAGAAGAGGGCCAAGTGATGGCTCCGTCTGTCCGAGGTATTCATCATACTTCAGATTTTCATTATCGACATTGGTACATTTAAAAGTATCATTTTTTGAAGGAGGCTATGGAGAAAAGTTGGTTTGGGGAAGATGACATCAAAGTAAAAAGTAGTGCTGCATTTTGTTTTGTTTTGTTGCTGTTACTTAAGAAAATGTTAATTTTCCTTTTCTTCCTGTGGAAATTAAAATATCAATTCTAGATGTTTTAAAATAAGATTATGTTAGTTTTTAGAGAGTTCAGTAACACTAACACTTCACCTATTTCAGACTATTTCACATCTAATTTGGTATAAATTTAGATGGTTGAAATTCTGATCAATTGACAAGTTAAATAGGGAGGCAAGAAACAACCAGGACACACCATCTACCATGGTGTCTAGGCAAGTACTCCAGATTTCCTTCAAGTGTCTGGCAGCTTAGCAAACTTTCCAGGCATGCCAGGAAGAGGTCATGAAGGATGACCAGTTAGCTGGAGATGGATTAGTCTGAAAATGGTACTGGATGTTTGGTACCTGCATCAGTATTATTTCAGTATGTTTTAGCATCAAAATAATTGAGTACTATAAGAAATAAGTCATGTGATTAAATCCAAGAAACATTCATTGACTAGTAATTTGCCAGACATGGCTAATTCTCGGTGCTACAAAAATGAATAAGAACCATTAATTCCCCTCCAGATCCACACTGTTTGTGGAAGAAAAAGAACTGCCCACCTGTCATTCTAAAATGATAGGTACCAAGTCCCTGAATCAGTAGAAGTCATTGTCATGTACACCAGAGAGAAAAGTGACAATTGACCTGACACTTGAGAAGTGACACAATTGAAAAGTGACAATTTTGAAGAATCACTAACCTTGGGAAGAAATGAGAAGGATTGATAATAGCGTGAGTGAAAGAAGACAAAAAAGTGAAGATGATTTGATTATAATGTTAGGTTGGGGTAGTAACCAATGGAGAAACAAAAATGGGCGATACGGAGAAGTAATTAAAGCAGTGTCCGTCAGGAGTCAGGAGTGCACGGAGTCAGGAGTACTGGTTGAAGGGTAGCTTGCAAAGGGGAGAAATTATTTTCTGAGTCTGGCATAAAGTGATTAAATAGTCCTTTCTCAGCAACTCCTAGGTGAATAGCTGTAATGTGTAGTGAAAAAAACTTTTAAAGACAACAACGAAAAGAAACAAAAATTCTTTGGGATAATTTGGCTTCTTGTGCCCACTATCTAAGAATAGCACTTGAAGTAAATCTTTGAGTTAGGCAATACAGGAGAAGTCAAGCTACAAACCAGGAAATAAAATGACGGCATAATCTTGCATATTCTTAGGTGTAGAAAAGATGAAGTCCATGTCACAGCTTGCAGTTTTGTCAAGACGGTGGAGGCCTTCAGAGATGAAGTTGGATCCCTTCCAGGAGGTTGTGTTGGAAAGCAGTAGTGTTGATGAGTTGCGAGAGAGGGTAAGTTCATTTTAAACAAAAGGAGCTAATACACATTCTAGTCTGGCAGCCTCGAAAGCAAGCACCAAACACTGATGATGCAGCAGCCTTTCTTTCTTGGTCTCTGTTACACCTTGTGCCAGACTCCGGTTGTTTATTAGGGATCTTGATGCTTAAAAAAATTACTTTGACCCCCTGGCCATTCAGAAGTAGACCCTTACTTTCTGTTACTTAGGTCAACTTTGTTCTAGGTAATTAAGATTAGTGTGAAGTTACTAGAGTAAATTGCCATAAGTCAAAAAAAAAAAAAAAAGATGAACTAGAATTGAATAGAGAATCCATATGAAAGTCTGTTTTGGGCTCGGCGCCTATAGCTCAACTGGCTAAGGCGCCAGCCACGTACACCTAAGGTGGCGGGTTCG